TACCCACTACAATATATAAATGACTGAGAACTCGTGTGTGCACGTCCACACTGTGTGAGCCCAGCAGGAACTCAAGTCATGGAAAATCGTTCAGTCTCTCAAGCTTCAGGTCTCTCAGTTGATGTTTGGATTTTGTTGGTAACTATGGTTACCCTTTCTTTCCCATCATCCCTCTGGGAATATCTGCTCTATTCCAGGCTCATGTTGTATTTACAACACACGTAACTTGTGACTCAACACCATGTGATTCAGACAATAGCAAAATATTGGAATCTGAATGTAAAGTTAGCTCTGGGGGCACTAGCGCTTTGCTGCAGGTGCTATGGATGAATCATTTGGAAGGTACAATGTGAAAGGAGTCCAGGCCGAGGTGGGAAGCTATGGGGTGCATGCCTTGGCTCCCCAACATTCATGACCTGGAATTTAACCCTTGCAGGGAAGCAGCCTGACTCATGGATGGTGAGTGTCCTCCTGTCCCTTTGAGGAAGGGAGCTGATCTTTCCTTCCCATCCTGCAAGGGAAGGAGGCAGGTGTCTCTTCTGCCACACGAGGACACAGCACGTAGACCACCTAGGAACCAGAAAAACAGCTCAAAGCAAACAATAAAGTGCTTGACTTTGAATACCTTGACCCCAGCCTATGAGAAACAAATCCTCACCCTGCATAGGTTTCCCCATCGGGGATATATTTATACCACCAAGAATGGACAAAGACACCACTGAGCTGAACTTGGTGGCTATGCAGGGGAAAACATCCAGCAAACTATGGATTGAGGCCAGCCTGCACAAAGTTGATGAGACTATATCTCACAATAATCCAGGCATGAGGCCCACACCTGTAAACTCAAATATAATGGGCATCCTAGGAAGATGACAGCATGAGGCTAGCCCTGGACAAAGTCATTTCACCCTAAGTGAGAAACAGCGTAGAGTCAAAGGAGCTGAAGACATGGCAGAGAGCGTGCTGAGCAAACACAAGGCTGAGATTTCAAACCCAAATGCCAAAAATAAAAGTAGATGAAAAGTGAACATAAAACGACCACCCTAAAATGATCCCCTTAGCACATTTGCAGTAGGAAGCACACAGCCTTCCTTAACCCACAACCACTGCTGGTGGGAGGAGGGGTGGAGCGGAAGCCAAGGACTTGCTTCCGGAAGAATGCCCCATTTCCTGACTCTGCTGCTGGTGAAGCAGATTTCCCTGTGCTGTGGTGCTTATGAAATGTTATAAACAAGTCCTCTGTGTGGTAAAGCTGAACAAGTTTGCAACAAATAAAATAAGTGCATTTCCATAGTTTAAAAGTGACAAAATGGTCAGATGGGTTGGTTCCACCTCCTCGGTAGGGGAGACCGGCAGGAATGACTGGAACCAGTCCCAGAGACACAGTGTCAGCCCAGAGATAAACACGGTCATGCACAGCAATCCATTCAGCTGCACAGAAAGCACAGATAGGAGAACACCGCCCATACCACCAGGAAAAATGCATGGCCATAGCCCCAAAATCACTAAAGAAATATACAGCAAAAATGGTTGGACACACAGCTCAAGGGGCAGTACACCTCTCTAGCAATCAAGAGACTCTTCTATTACAAATTCATACCACCAAACAATGTGACACATGCACACATCATGACACCTAATGTGAGCGAGGACTGACTGTGCTGTGTAAAATACAGTAAGATGAGATCTCCTAAAGCATTTGCTCTGCTGCGGGATGAGGTCTGTGTTCTCTTCCATGTAATCATTGTCACTGCTGACTTCAGGTTCTCCTGTCTTCTCTGCACTGCCTTTGCTCAGATTCCACCCCAGAGCTGGCTATATACCAAGAGGACATGCAAATGGGGCCTCCCTCTGCTCATGAAAAGCTGCAGCTCTGCACGTCAGGCCTGACTTCCAGGGGTCCATCCTGAGATCAGCACTGGGCACAGACCTCCACCATGGAGGGGGCTCTGACCTGTGTTTTCCTTGTGGCCATTTTACAAGGTAATTTGCAGAGAAGAAGGGACACTGGGTGTGTGAGTGGAGCTGAGTGGGAGGCACGGTGGATGTGTGTGACCATTGCTGACCTGGATTCTCTGTGTTTGCAGGTGTGCAGTGTGAGGTGCAGCTGGTGGAGTCTGGGGGAGGCTTGGTGCAGCCTGGGGGGTCCTTGAGACTCTCCTGTGCAGTGTCCGGATTTACCTTCAGTGGTTATTGGATGAACTGGCTCCGACAGGCTCCAGGGAAGGGGCTGGAGTGGATTTCATCCATCGATGGTAGTAGTAGCACATACTACCCAGACTCTGTGAAGGGCCGCTTCACCATCTCCAAAGACAACAGCAAGAGCACACTTTACCTGCAGATGAACAGCCTGAGAGTGGAGGACACAGCCGTCTATTACTGTGCTACCGACACAGTGCAGGAAATCCAGTGTGGGCCAGACACAAACCTCCCTGCAGGGCACTCAGCACCAGCAGGGGGCGCTGGGCACACACTGAGGTCATGCTCAGTCAGCACCAGCAGGGGGCGCTCAGCACACACTGAGGTCATGCTCAGTCAGCACCAGCAGGGGGCGCTGGGCTCACACTGAGGTCAAGGCAGTCACAGGAGCAGCTGTGGAGCTCAGGCCCTGACTCCTCTGTGTGCCTGGCCTCTCCACAGGACACAGCGTCCCCCACAGAGCAGTCAACTGTGTTCTTACTGTTCTCCAACCCCTCAGCACACATCTTATTCTGTCTTCCATTGCCCTGTGTCTGTTGTGGTTGCTGATGCATCCTTGAGAGGACTAGACACAGCACCATGCACATTCGGTGGACACTGCTGAGATCACTGTGGTCAAATCTGAGGAAGGTCAAGATCCTTGCTCAGTTCTTACCTCTCAGACTTGGGAGAGACGCAGTGGACTCCCTGGCTAGGTCAGTCTTTATCCTCAGGTCGGAGTGCACGGGATGTTGTGCAGAGCCAGGGCCTTCATGTCACTGATGGATTTCAAGGCCCACCGTTCTGCTCACACAGACCAGCATCCAGCCCGGCTTTGATCCTGTTGTCCCCTTTCCTTTTCCTGGTGACATGTAAGGGGCCATCGGTCAGAACCAGGGGCTGCTCTGTGACCCACAGAGCGCAGTCGCTGAGCTGTGGTTACCTGCAGGGGCCCAGTGACCCCCACCAGCTCCTCTGCCTCTGTCCCTTTCTACACATGCTGTAGATGAGGAGGTTGGATAGGATTCTCAACCACAGTTCTGGATCTGGTTGCTGCTTGATCCTAGAAAGACTCATGAGTTCTTAATTGTCTCTGTGTTGTCCACACCTGTCCTTCACACTAAGTCCCCTACAGACATGGCCTGTATTCAGTCTCTAGACCCCAGGCCCAGTAACGGGACCTGGAGGTCAATGAGGCTGTGGCCCTGGCTCCTGCATGCCTGGGAAGAACTCACTGGTGTCCCCAGGCTGCTTGCCCTGGACTGTCCCGTCCTCCTCTCTATGGACTCTGGCAGGAAGCTCAGGGGATACCTGTAGCTAAGGGGACATGGATGAGTGTAAAAACAGTCGTCACTTGGGATTTCACCTGCATCACCTCACTGTCCTGAGCCTGTGCACATGGGACTGAGGACCGGCTGGGGCCAGGTCCTCCTGGAGCACGTGGGCTGTGGAGGTGCAGGGTGGGTGGGAGCTCCTGCGATTGGCCATCAGGAAGAGATCTAGAACCTCCTGCAGAGCCTGCTGCAGATGCTGTCTCTGTGGTGAAATGTCATCCTCTCTGGGCTGTTCCCACTCAGATCCACCCAGGTTGCCAGAGAGGAATTAGTGAGGAATTTCATTCCATCCACACAACACCTCCACTGCAACCTTCAACAGGCTTGGCTTTTAATGTGCCGCATTGATCTGCCGGGGGGTATTTCCAGTCCTGGGTCACTCAAAAGCCAGGCTGCGACGCCCCAGTATCAAGTGTGTGTTTGTGTAAAGGCCTGGAGAAAAGGCTCTTCAGAGACAAGTGAGGAGTGGGGACAATGTGCCTGTGGGGCCTGGGTCTAGCGTGGCCACCTTCCTGGGTGACAGGTTTCTCACAATGTGCGTGGATGAGAGCAGTGCTCCATGTGCAATAAGAGGAGAGAGCTCAGGTCATCCCTGCTTCCCAGAACAACGATGCTTATGGTCCTCTCCTGCTGTTGTTATATGTCTCACTGGGACACATATAATAGACGCTATGGAGAGATCAAAGAGTACAGCTCTTCACAAAGACTAAGTCAAAGGACAACAAAGTAAGCACCAGAAAGTGGGTACTGGGAGTGGAGAGATGAGGGGCAAATGGTAGAAGGATGAAGGAGACAACGTGGAGAACACTGGCAAGAATACAGTGCATAGGCCATAGAATTGAGAACAGTGAGCTAAGGGTGGGTCAAAGGGGAAAGGTGAGGAAGGAATGACACAGATCCACATGCCTTGTGTCCACAAACTGCTTTGTTCAATGATGTCAGCATACATGTCTTGAACATTGAGCAGAGACAGGGAAGAGGAGGTGGAGGAGTGGGCTAGAATGTTGAAAGGGGCAATGTTGATCAAGCCTCAGTGTGTTTATAAACTGCCTCACTGAACGGCACCTTTATTTTTTATTTAATTAAAAAAATGTTGTGTAGTTGATGTACAGAGCAGGTTTAGTTACGTGAATCAGGTACATTCAGTGCAGTTTTTTATGAACCATTCTTCCCATCTGTTGCTCTCTCCCAATCCTTCCCTCCTGTCCCTACCCATTAGATTTCCAGTTCATTTTCCACAGTGTCTGGTGAGTATCTCTATGATATTTGTTCATTCCTGTTCCAGATTTTAGGTGACCCCCTTACCCTCCCAAATACAAACAATAAACAATACAAAAGGCAGAGGGAAAATGTTTTTAAAAGCAAATGGCTCAGCAATCTTTACTATTGGAAGCAGAGTTTAACTTCTCTAAAGAAGTTCATATTCCATCACTGGGTTTCTTGAAGCCAATTGATTACAGACATTTCAGTTTATTCACTCATCTAACAATCTCTGTCTTCCACCTGCATCTCCTCTGTGCACTGCCCTCCTGAGACTTCTGCCCCAGAGCTGCTTTATAGCAGAGGACATGCAAATAGGACGTCCCTCTGCCCATGAAAACCAGCCCAGCCCTGACCTGAGCTCTGTGAGCTGATTCCACCAGTGACTGAGCACAGACCACCACCATGGAGCTGGGGCTGCGCTGGGTTCTCCTTGTTGCTCTGTTGAAAGGTGATTCATGGGGAGCAAGGGATACTGAGTGTGCAAATGGACATGAGTGCGAGGAACTGTGGATGTGTGTGACCATTGCTGACCAGGATTCTCTGTGTTTGCAGGTGTGCAGTGTGAGGTGCAGCTGGTAGAGTCTGGGGGAGGCTTGGTACAGCATGGGGGGTCCCTGAGACTCTCCTGTACAGCCTCTGGATTCGACTTCAGTGATTACTACATGCACTGGATCCGCCAGGCTCCAGGGAAGAGGCCTCAATGGCTCTCATATATCAGTGGTGATAGTAGTGACCCAGAGTATGCAGACTCCGTGAAGGACCGCTTCACCATCTCCAGAGACAACAG